GTGTGTGTGTGTGTTGGGAAACTTTGTTCACATAAAATTTGTAAATGAGAATTGATGGAATTTTGTTGTGGCTCTTTCACTCAATTATTTGAGATTTAGTGATATGCCAAAAATACATAGTTAACCTATCATCAAAAGTTATTCTTAGGATCTGTCAGCTCATGATTTAGTTCTCATGCAAGCAGAGAATTGGAAGCCACCTGATTTGTAAAAGTATTTGTTACTCAGTGTAATTGTTTCCTACGGCTACCATAAGAAACTACCACAAACTAGTAGCTTAGACCAATAGAAATGTATTCTCTCACAGTTCTAGAGGCTGAAAGTCTGATATCAAGGTGTCAGCAAGGTCAGTTCCTTTTTGTAGACTGAGGGAGAATCCATTCCATGCCTCTCTTTTAGGTGGTTGTTAGCAATTCTTGGTGTGCCTTGGTTTATAGATGCATCACTCCAGTCTATGCTTCTGTCTTCATATGGCATTTTCCTCTCTTGTGTCCCGAATTTCCCTCTTATATCGGTCATTGAATTTGGGCACAACCAAATCCAGTAAGATCTCATCTTGATTTAATTACATCTGCAAAGACTGTTTCCAAATAAGATTACATTCACAGGTATGGGAGTTAGGACTTGAACATATCTTTTTGGGGGACACAGGTCAATCCAATACAGTTGGTAATTAAAGTCTTTATAGTTTTCTCAGTTTCTTGGAAGAACACCAAAAGGGTTTTACCAAGACTTATCAAAAGACTACCAGTTATATTTGTTACCTTCTTTTAGAGACATCTTGTTTAGCTTAAGATGCTCAGAAAGGTTTGGGGAAATCAAAATGCTGTTAATTTTAAGACATCATTGCCAAAACATTTTTTAAAAAATTAAACATCTTTATTTGTTAAAATATTTATTTGTTAAAACATTTATTTTTATGTAAGCCTTGGAGCTACAAATTTCCTTCATTCTATTTATGGAAAACAGCTACCGTATAATTTAATTGATAAAAGATAGTTCTCATTGTCAAGCTAGACAAGCAAATCACATTAAATTTCTTTTGGAAAAAAGTCTGGCTTCATTTTTCTGTTCAGCTAAATGAGTTCATCTATATTTCCTATCTGTAAGTCTAAAATGAACAAAATAGTGACAGAGCTCAAAGTAAGATGCTACCTTTTAATACTTTGCTTTCCTTCAAAAGGAGTTTTTGTTTTTGTTTTTCACTAGTTCAGGGAAAATTGTTATGACTCCCACCACACTACTATACAATATATCTGAAGTTAGAACTTCCCATTTTTTATTCCACACTTTGTTCTTAAAGGAACAGCATATAAGACAAGAAGACCTAAAGCCTTATAGACCCTTGATGGTTCTTTGAATAATATAGGTCTCACTAGCACTAATATAAATTAGATCTTTTTGATGCCATGATAGTTTTTATACCCTGAGCCAATGTACTGTAGTAAAGTTAATGAAAAGAATGCCTTTATTTTGTAAAGGGCCATAAGGGTGATTGTGAGAGAAAAGGATAGCTGAAGAAGTTGCGTACATGATGTTCTACGTACAGTTCAGATTTAGGAAAGAATAAATGTGGAAGTTGGGGATCTGGAAATTGATTCCTTAAAACGTTCTGTGCCATTGGAAAGAATTCATGCACTGCTTTGGGATTAGCATGTACTGCTGGTCTAAAGAATAAATTCATATTTCTTATGATTCACAAGTCAGCACACCTTTCTACATTTTGACCCCAGTTCTCTCTCAAGCTCATGCACCACCTGTTCTAGCTATGCTGAACTGGTGGCTGTTCTGGAAATCTCTCATAGTTTTATACTTCCTTTGTTCACTTTGTTCCTTACCTGTCTGACTTACAAAGTTTTATTTATTCTTTAAAGTCCAGCTAACATGTCTTCTGTGAGCTCCTCTGAACCTGAATTAATTTCCTTCACATGCTTCCCATGCATTTTATATATTTTCTTTAAAGCATGTCTTGTCTCAGTGAGCCTCTTTAAGGGCATCGGCCACCATTTTTCATTTCTGTATCCTCGGCACTTTGTAGTGTCTGACACATAATGTGTCAGTGAATAAAATGACTTACACATTAAAAGAGAGGAAGGTGAATACAGGGGAGGAAGAACAGTTTTGGAAACTTGGTGAAACTTCGCTAAAAAAATTTTGAAATGAACAAAAACTAACCTTTATCACAGCCAGTGCATTAATTTGGGCATCTTTCTTATTAACATATCAAGCTAGGTACCATTACAGTGTAGAACTGAAATAAATATAACTTTTTTCCATACCACCTGTTTATGGATGAGGTAAATGTAATGTACATAGACAGCTTTCTGATTTTGCTGAATGAGATGAAACGTACGTGTGGTGTGTGTGTGTTTCAGTTCAGGATGTGAGTATATGCATGATTCAGGTAGCATTTATTTTGTTAGATGTGGTCATCTAATTATAGAATTCTTAATCCAAAAGGTCCTTAAGGATTATCTAGTCTATAAATTTTTATTTATCAGATGAGGAAAAGGAAGCATTCGGAAATTAAGGCAATGGTAGAGCCAAACTATCTACTGGAAATCTTTTGTAAAAACCTTTCTAGTCTTGAAATTAGGTAGTTTAATTTTTTTTTTTTTTTTTCATTTTTCTTATTAAATCTCT